TACAGGCCCTGTTAAATAATTTACCGAATTCTGATCGAGTAATCATGCATGGTGAAGTAGTTCAGCTGGACAGCGATAGCATGAGACCACAACACAATGTTATGCTTATTTTGTTATCAGATGTACTGTAGTCATTATCAGATGTAAATAATAACAACAATGATAAGCTTTTTATCAATGATAATAGAGAGAATGAGATAAAAGTTGAATACCATTTTATATTGAAAATGCATTAAAATGACATTTAAAATATTCAGAATATTTATCACTATCAATTTTATAATTTATATATTACATATTAGAATGAGTTAATTTTTGTTAAATTTAGAAGTCTCATCTAAATATTTGTTTTATTATCGCAATAAGATGTAAAAATAGTTCGATAGGCATTAGAGGGATAAATATACATATGAATGTTTGGCAAGTTTATAAGAGATGCGTTATTTTCGCTTGTTGACTTTAAAATAAGGGAAATTCAACAACCATGGATAATTGAAGTAGTCAGTAGATTAAAAGGATTAGAATGAGAGTAGTGTAGCATCATATTGTCCTCTCGTGGAGCGCTTTAATGTGTATTCAATATATAAATGCCTTCAAATATCACCGACTACATCGATCAATGTTAGTTTCCATATTTTCACAAATTTCAAAAATATAATAAGCAACAACCAATAGCAAATAAAAGTAACAAAAATGATGTTAGCAATAATATTATTGATGAAGGATGAAGTAGTACTCATTGCTGTTATTATTATCAATACACAATTTTAAGGCATACATTTTATTTGTAAAATGCTTTTTTAAGAGCCCATCATGTTGTAGTCCAATGACTAGGACCAATGATTATGGAATTTAGGCGCATAAATTGTTTACTTTCATCAATCAATATCCCTACTTCTAAAACATTAGTATTGAATGCGTTACTGACTGACACAAAATGACATCAGCAAATTTTCCCTTCGTTTTTTTCTAAATTAGTAATGAAAGCGAAAATTAAAGGTAATCAAATCAGATGGTTGCATGTATTTTAAGGTAGTTGACTACCACATACATTTGTGACAGCGTATATGGCTAAAACCTTCAAATTATTTTCATCCACTCAAAGTTCCTTCAAATTTTCATTGAATTTCGAAGATTTAAATTGGACTAAAATCAAATTAATAAAACAATACAATGCCTTTGATTATGTTGAGGAAAAGAGGAAGAGATAGAAATAAAATTTTGCAAAAAATTTGAATAAAAGCGTTTATAATAAATCATTATAAAATGATTTATTTCTATATATTTGCGAAGCTTACGGAAGCATATTCCGGATCGGAAGAAAGGTATTTTTCATACGACGAGAACATACAAAAAGATATAGACTCCTGCATTATGCCAAATTGACCAATAGTATTTGGTCAATACGATTCATGATGCTGAAGATACTATGTATATATAATATCTTCTGCAGAAGTAAATTGCTTTATAATGATTTATTATGAACATTTTTTATTAAAATATATATGCTAAACTTATCCAGTAACCAAGTATTATCATCATTGATTAATATGATGAAAATGATAAGGTTGTTACGAACAAGCAGAAATATCATGAATATGCTAAGAAAATTATCGTTAAATAAATCAAACAAATTATCATAAATAAAAGATATGCACCATTCCAAATTATTAAGTTCAAATTATTATTAGTGCTTTATTAAGTTCAAATAAGTAAATTAAGGAAAATGAAACGTATAAAGAAGTATTATAAGTATAATCCTGTAAACAATAAAAATGATATGAGAACGAATGGATAAGGATATTGCTTGAAGATCCTTTTCCGTCCAATAAATAATGAAAAGCAAAAATCTATCCGTAATGTGGAATGAGACTTCTGAAAAATTTTTTGATGTAAATCCTTTCATCGTTGACTGTTACCTATTTCTTTCATTTATCTTTGTAAACTTTGAAAGATCCACAAAATATTTCTTATTATTCTGATACATTAACATTGGTGAATGGAAGAAGAAAGAGGATAAAAAGGAAAATAAAGTTTCACATATAAATTATTGCAGTAAATTTGAATAATTTCAAATAGGAAATGTTTCAAATAAAACTATTACTTCTCTTATTACTTCCTTGCTCTTGTTATGTACTTCGAAGATAGAAGTTACTAATAAAATTTTAATTCGTGAATTTACTCTTTTTGATTTCAAAGAATTCAGAAGTTAATTAAATGTAAATTAAAGGTTTTGAAACAGAGCAATTAATGATTGTTATATATAAATGATTTTCAGCATTTATTTTTTTTTAAAGAAATATTAGTAAAATTATTTGTTTCATTAACAATAATTTTGATTCTTTCGACAAAATATGATCAAGATATTTACAACGTAATGGATGGGATATGGAATGACTAAATATAATACAAATGAAGTGAAAAAACATGGCCTTATAATGGCCTTATAATGATTAGCTTAATATCGAATAATTCAAATCATTCAATCAGACAATCAGTTATTTACTAAAAATATTATAAGCTTTGTTTCTACAATATCAATCATATCCTATTATTTAACACCATTTATAATATAGTATAAAAAAATTGCAAATAATATCAAAAAAATGATACGCTTAAGAGTACGTGAAATGATATGGCGTACGTCACGTTGTTTTTCATACTTATAAACTTATGTATTCTATGAAACGATAAACTTTATATATATCATTTAATAAGAAATATTAATCAGTGAAAAATCAATGAATATTTTTGGAGGATTAGTCATTAATCCTCCAAAAATGAAAGAAAAAGATGAATACATATTTTTCGATCAATTTGATGTATTATAAACAAATAATTCTTTTTTCTGTTCTTTCATTTTCAAACAGGTAAGATAAGGTAATATAAATATTTAAAATCGTACTGATAAACTTAGAAACTATTAACTAACTAATAATGAACCCTCAAAGAATAAAATATTGGAAATTTTGCTGTTAATATGTAATTAGAACTAACATCCAACGATAGATAAATACTTGTGTGTGTGTTTGTGTGTGTCGAGTGGATGATAATTTCAATAGATGATGTTTGATTTCATATTTTTCACTCTCTTCAATAAAGTATTGCACATTTGAATTCAATCCTTTTTCGTAGTTGTTTTAAAGAGTGGTCGATCTAAAAATATCACACTTTTAATAATTAGTTAAATATTTGATTGAATTTTGCCAAAAAAAATAGAAAATTAGAATTTGAATTTTTAGTTTGACAGAGAAAGGGAACTGAATGTTTTACAAAAATGAATGATATCATTGAAATCGAAATAAACTGTCAACATAACAATAATAAATGATCCAATAATCATTAATTCAAAAAAACAAAAGTTCTCTTTACACCTATTCAATAATAAAATGAAATTTCAACAACTTCTAATATTTTCTTTCATTCCATAATTTTCATTTGAATAATATTTAAAAAAAATTGATAGCTGCAAATTTCAATGAGAATGAAAATTTTAAGCCAAAAAAAATTGTTTAAAAATGGAATAAATATTATGGAATAAAATATATTTCATTAAAATGATATTATATCGCACATATATTAATTGCTATGAAAAAAAATTAATTGAAATTAAATGTTAAGAAAATGGTTGATGGAATTGTTCAACTCATTTGGATTTATAGCATAAATTATATTTTTAGATTTTAAATTTTCTTTTAGTAATTGAGTTAATGGAATAAATTTGAAATCTATGGATTGAGATATTAATGCATTTATGTTGTAGAATTTAAAGTATTTGCTTAAATTTTCAATTTCATTTTAACGGATATGATAAGTCTTAAGCTTTCTTATAGCATATATTTTTCATATTATTTATAAACAAAACGAAAGAATGAAATTAAAAAGATTAAAAAGTAATTTGCAACAAATTAATAGCTTAATCATTTTTGTTCCAAAAGGCATCATATTTTCAAATTTAATGAAAAATTTTCAAAAACCATATAATTCTATCATTTAGTTGATTTCCATTAATTGCTACTACTACTACTACAACTACAATTAAAATTACAGTTTGCAACTACAGCCAGCTACAATTACAACTAAAACAACAAATTCATTTACAATAACTTATTACTGATTTGAAAAATTCTCATTAAAATTTTTTATTCTTTAAATAAGGATAACCTAAGCTGTATTATGCGTTGATAAAGGATATAAATGTGAGAGAAAGGAAGGAAGTAATTAGACCGATATGAGTCACACTAATAAGCGCTTATGCGTAATAATGTCAACTTATTTGAACTAAACTATACTTTTGAAAAGTATCGGTTGAAAAGAAATAAATGAAAAAAATAATTTACTCTATGCTAGAAGATTTTGTTGACTAAGCATATAGCATTATTTATTGATTGAAGTTTTAATAAAATGAAAGAAATATTTTTAACTAATTAATAAACTAATCATTAATATATACTAAAAGAAGATATTATGCAATGAGAGTTTGTTTTGAAAAGTATGAGAGATTATGAGATGACGAAGTGGTAAAAATGATGTTTTATTCATTCATCCAAACATTACGTCAATGAGTAAGCAATCGTTTGTTCGATTTCTTCTTCTCCTTTGAGAATTTAAATATTTCAATAAAAAAAGAAGAAAGGGAAAAAGTTTTCATTTTTTTCTGAAACTTGAAATTACCGATTAAGGAAGTAAGAAAAAGATAGCAAAAAATTTTAGGCTTCTTTTCTTTTCTTTACTTACATTTATTTTATTTTAAAAATGTTCCATATTATCAATCAATGGATTAATAGATCAAAAAAATAATACCAATCAATTAAATATTTTTCAAGCAAATAAATGAAGTAAATAAACTAAAAGAAATGTGAAAAATAAAAGATAGATAATGAAAGATTTTATTACTGCGAAGAATTTAATAGACAGATGAAAAAAGGTTTTGCATATGAAAATAAAAAGGGAGGTGTGATTATTGGTGGAGATGTAAAAGTATTGACAAGAATAGCTAACTGCTAACGGAAGCCTTTGGGGATGGCATTGAAAATGTAAAAGCTTCTGGAGAAGTGTAAGAATCTGATGGAAGTGGTGGATGAAATGCATGCATGCATGCATGCGAATAGCACACATTCTTTTTTACTAGCATTCTTTTTCCACCTTCCCTGGCCAGGACCCAAGATAAGGCTATGCTATTGCTTTCCTTAAAACATCCATCCATCCAATTATTGCCAAGGCTTGTCCCATCCATCCACCCATCCATCCACTCATCCACCCATCCATCTATCCATTCCTCCATTCAACCTCCTTCTTCGAGACATGCATGAATGAATGAATTGAGACAGACTTAGCCTATTCTCTCTAGACAGTTTCCTCTTCCTTTTCTTCCAACCTCAAAAGTCATTTTTGGAGTTGAAATAAATGTATGATATATACCATTTGAAAATGAAATATATATTTTTGGCCTTTAGTCTCAATTGATTTCTATCATTTATCCTTTCTAATATTTGCTTATTTCTTATTACTTTTCTTTTTTAGTTCTTTATTTAATTTTAGGTTAATTTGATATGCAAATAAGCCGAAGTGATTTGTTACTGATTTTTGACAGTTTGTATATAATATATTTAATCGTTTATAATGCAATAAATTCAACTATTATCGATATTGTTGTAAAAGATTGCTTTATCAATCGCACTATTTGATCGCTATTCTATCAATCAAATCATAAATTTCAAATGAAAAGTGACAAATTTCTGAAGAAAAAGGGCAATGATATCAAACCACATTCTGACATATAATGAAAAATTTTAACTTTTTAGAATAGTCACATGTCAGCCGGATCGATATTTTTATATTAAGAAAATATAAAGCAAATCGGAAATTGCTACTTGCATTATTTTAGTGTTATAATTAATCAATTTAAAATCTAAACCAATTATGCATTAAATAGGAAGTGAATTAATTGAAACAGTCCAATGAGGAGCACTAAAAGGTAAGAGAAGGTGACATGAATTAATTTATTATTAACTCTTTTAATGATACGATCGTTACAGAATGATTTATTCCTATATGTAATACTAATTTGTTCATAAACTTAAGGCTAACTTTTTTAGAATATTAATGCGTTTATAAGTATAATTTAAGGTACCACCCACCCATAAGTATGCCTTTTCTTCTTCAACATTATTCATGCATTTATTCAAATATCAATATTTTTGCTTATTTGAAAATAAGTGACAATGTGATGATAAAAGAGCGGTAATGATATATTAGAGATATTTGGAATGCAAACGATTAGAAATGCTAATTGTGAATACAATGCACTATGCAAACATATCAATATCAGTAATAATAATTATGCCAAAATGCATTATATCAGTGATAATAGTTGTACTGGGGAAAAAAACCATCAAACATTAATGTAAAGCAGTTGACAGTTAAATAAATTAACGAAAAAGTTGCATCGAATTTTCATATAACTTTATCTGTTCAGCAGAAATAATTACAGGTAAATATAATCAATCAGAAAGGATAAATGAGAAAATTGTTTTTTGTTTTACAGTTCTCGCATAATCTACAAATGAGCATTACTCGAAAAGTTCCGCTTTTTTGGAAGTACCTTAATGTATCGTACAGTGATATTCTCTATTATATCTATCGATTTAAAAAATCAATGATATCTTTTTTTTAATGGAAAATTGTATAAAAAGTATATTTTAAAATAGGCTTAACTTAAGCCAATTCCATTTTCATTCAATCGTTTGAAAATTAAAATTCTTTCGATAACTGCAACAATTACTTTGAGAAGTGATTCAAAAAAAGAACTTTAAAGCATTGCTAAATTGATATTAATTAATATAATTAAGAAACAATTACCGAAATTTATTTGCAAAATCACGAATTTCCAGTCAATTTGATTTTTTCATAATCATTTCTACGCTTTCATCCTTAGTTATTTATTTATGTTTTTTAAAACTGCTCAATAAATAATAAATTTATGGGAATGGATGAAATCCCTTCCACCACTATCAATTATCAGTAATTTTCAACAATATAGAAAGCTTAATAATTTTGCAAGAATTAAAAACGTATAAAAATGAAAGAGTTAATCTTTTGGAACTATAAATTCACAGCTTCTTCAAATTAAAATTTCAAAAAGAGAGCATCAGAAGCTATATTATTTATTGCATTATTTAAGCAAACATATTTAAGAAGATTAATCACTGATATTATGAACTTTTAAAACAATGCTATCAATAAATATCATTTGTATGATACAACAGGTAACTTCATAAGAGCGAAACTTTTCAAGTAATGAAGCCAATGAATAGTGAATTCAAAAATTATCATTTCAACGTGTTAAGTTACAAATATATCAATGTCAATTTTTTGCAGTAAGTTAGTATTCCTTGCTGTTTTGGTTTTAGAAAAATAGTACTGGCTTAAATATGGCAGGTATATTTTTGCTTCAAAAATTCATTTATCATTGACTGATATTAAATATTGAAATGATTTCAGAAATAAGTTGGGACAGCTAGGAAAAATGGAAGGAATAATATTCAATATTTGTTTAAGAAAAATTTCTCATCGCTATCTCTTCTTATTTCATTATTTATTTAAATACCAATTATTAAACCAAGAAATATCAATAATTTAGCAATACTATTATAATCGTATCATCAAATAACATTATGAAAATGATATTGCATAAGTGTTAATCAATATGTGCGGGATCCAATAAATTCCATATTTCCGTCGCTTCCTTTAGTATATCAAACAAAATCGAATGTCGCATTTCCTCCTCTTTTATTTCATACGCTTTCAGAGTTATATTCATATTGCTTTGTAGATCAAGTAATTCATACAAATAATTCTTTGCTGCATCACTACCATTAGACCTGTCCAATCGATCTCTCAATATTCGATCACGCTTCACGATATATCGTTCTTCATCTAGACGATACTGACGAAATTCTTTCTATAATAATCTTAAAACGTAAATTGATATTTTTTAAAACTTTCAATCATAAAGTCAATCCGGATTTTTTTTTGCAAACCATTCTAATACATGTCAGAGGTTAAGAAATTCTAAAAATTTGAAATTAATCTTCGAACCCTGTCACTTTTTGGCAAATTAATAATGCTTTCAAAAATCACGAGATATTTCCGACTAATAATAACCTTAATCTTAGCTCCTTGCTTTTCTGCCCAATCCTGACATAAATCATAAAATTGAGCTCTTGTAAGTTCCGGTTGTTGCTTAAACAATGCTTCATATTCTTCCATTTTCACTGTAGGCATTTTTTTAATAAAATCCGGCAGACAATTAATATTCAAGAAAATGTAGCTTCCGAGTAACCAAAAAAGTATTGTTGGAAGCATTTTCAAAATTACTCTTTCATAAAATCCTGAACTTTAAATTTTATTGCAAAAATTTACAAACGCCGAAAACATTTTTCATTAAATGATCACAAATTATGAATACTTATTTATTTCATTTGCTGGAAAGTCATTACACATTGTTATATATTCTGAAACAATTTCAAATTAATTTTAAAATTTTATACTCAAAATTTATTATGCTTGAAAATGACTGTTTATTAAATGCAAAAATATAAAATTTTCTTTTATACGCATATAAATATTGGCAATTTATGCTAAACTATGATAATTCTTTAACTCAATTTCAGTTTCCGGTGAAATTTCAGAATCGGCAAAGTAACAAACCGAAATAGTAAAAATCGTACAGCAAATAATAAAGGAATGTATTAAAGGAATTGCAGCATTTAATTCACAAATATATCTTTTATAAATAATTTGAATGAGCATTTTCTTTCAAACTGAAATGATATCATTTTCGTTTATTATGCAAAAATTAACAATGCAATATAACAATTCCGAAATTTAAAATGATACGGTACTAGCTTTTATCATTGAAATTTATTTTGATTTTTGTGATATTTATTTTTTGAAATGAAAAAAAAATGAAAGAAATGATATTCTTTATGTTCTTTGCTAAATGTGTTCAGTTTGTTTTTAAATACTTTTAATTAAAATCTTTGAAGATTTCTTCAAATTTTAAAATACTTTTAGAATGGAACAAAAAAATTAACCTGACATTATTAAATGGATCGTCTGAGGCTGTTAGAATGATTTTTCCACTCAATTTCTCTTCAGCAGTTGTTTGATTGCATTTTAATTATTTTGTTAGAAATAATTCTCTAAACCTCAAATACTTCAATCTTCAAAACTTTAAATAAAATATGAGATAATGATTAAAAATTTTATCACAAACATATTTGTTATTTTGCTTTATCAAATTTCTTAAAAGAATTCTTATTATATTTCTTCTACACTTTCTCTTCTAATTGAGAGCATACTATTATAATGTTAAAATATACATAAGCATTATTCAAACTTTTATCAAAAATTATAAGAAATATTGCAAACGTTTAATTAATCAGCCTGAACAATCTGTTGAATTTGGATTTGTGCAAAGTTAATGTTTAATTTATTTAATTTTTTCTTTGCTGACTTTTATGAGAGCTTATAATATGTAAAATAAATGATTTAAAATTAGATGATACCGTATAATTCCACTGATTTATCAAAAAACATTTTCTTTGTTTCCTCAATTCCACAACTAAATTAACTATTGGCAGCTAAAGAGTTGGAGAAGTGAAAATCAAATAAAAACTTTTCTTGCAAGCTTAATATCATTCAATGTTTGCTTGAATAATATGGCATTTAGAAGAAATTTAGAAAATAATGCTCATATATAATATTCATTTTAAAATAAAATGTTGTCTGCAATATGTTTATATTTAAAGAATAAACATTGTCATAGCAACTTGCAATGTCTGCCGTTGGATTCATATTTGTTTTGAAATGAGAGTTTTATTCAAACAACATTAAACATATTCCTATCTCAACTTTGCATCTTTAAAAAACAATATAATTAACGCAATTATCACCTTTAAAATAAAATCTCAAGTAAAAATTCAATGACAAAAAAGTAGCACAGTAATATATTTAATAACCAGGTGCTGTCCTTGGTGGTAAGCAAGCATCACACGATCCTTGAGCACCAGCTTCACCATCTGGTCCTCTGTCTCCGTCAAGTCCAGGTTTTCCAGCTGGTCCATCTGCTCCCGCATCTCCTGGTGGTCCCACTGGTCCATCTGATCCAGCTTTACCAGGTTCACCTGCCTCACCATCAGATCCGGGTAGTCCTGGTTCTCCAGGTTTTCCTGGTGTTCCTGGTGGGCCTCCTTTTCCAACGACAGTGCCTGGTGGCCCAGAAGGACCTTTTTCACCTGGTGGTCCAGGAGATCCTGGTGGTCCTTCTGGTCCAGGTTCACCAGGCGAGCCGTTGTTGCTAGCCGTTCCATCAGGACCTGGTGGACCTTGTTTACCTGGCATTCCTTTCGGTCCTGCTGAACCGGCTGGTCCTGCAGGTGCATCAGGACAATCAAAGCACCAGTCGTCCTTCAGCTGCACAGCTAAATCTTGTGGAGTATCAGAACCATCTTTGCCGGGTGGTCCACTTTCACCATCAGCGCCATCATTACCATTTTCCCCCGGTGGACCGGGTGGACCTGATGGCGAAACACCACATCCGCAAAATTTACTTGATGGTGATGCCGGATCACCAAAGACAAGATCTGAGCTTGAATGACCATTTCCCGCTTGTCGTATTTTCCGAACTCCACCTCCTACTTTTGCAAATATCTAAACTTAAAGTACTATTGTTTGGTAAAAAGAGACCGACATGTAATGTAGACCGAGTTTTCTTCATAATTATTCAAATAGATGACTAAAGTTTATAAGTAGATGTGAATTCGCTCATCATATTTCGAGTATCTTTCATTTCATATTTAAAATTTAATCAGTTAAACCATTCTTTGACACAGCAGATATTAACATTGCTAAATAAAGTAATATGATGAGGCATAATTTGGAACCAATAAAGTTGATTTTGATCAGTGCAAGCATAGTTAGTCTAAACTTTTGCAATTAATATTGCCTGCAATGTTTTCCAAAATTGTCCAGAAATTCTTACACAAAATTCTACAGCCATCAGCTGAGTTGTATTTTTATTTGAACTCATATGATAACTTTTAATTTTATGTAAGATTGGCTAACCTGTGTACGGGTCACTTCTCGCCACATATTACTGGATCGAGATTTGCAAAAGTCTACTTCTGATTGCATTACTGAATGCATATACTGCAAATAGTTGTAAAGGAGAGGTACCGAAATGACGCAGACCAATGTCGTAACTGCTGACATAGTCATGCCAGCAAATGCTACCAATCTCAAATTGCTGCATTCTCGCTCCCTTTCCTTTTCGTACATATCCTAAATGTAATTGTAATGGATTTAATATTAATTTAATTAATAATGCAACGTTAAGATTAATGCAATTATTTGCCTAATTTTTCATACTTAACTTTTTCCTTTTTTAAATGTAAATTTGACGCTTAGAAATTATTTATTACAAAAGTATTGAATTTGAGAATCGTTCAATTTATTTAGTTTTTCCAATAATTTTCATATTTCTGTAATTTTAATTCTTAGCTTTTCTCTTCCTTTTTCTATCTCTCTCTCTCACTCTCTCTCTCTCAAAAAAGCTCTTCTTATCAAAAGTCTAAAATATATCATTTGCCAAATGCCAAAATGCAATTCGAGAAAATTATCCCGCATATCCGTGACTGAAATAACCGTCTCAATGCCTCCTTCCGTATAATTTCTACACAAATTTACTAATATCACTAAATAAATCGATTATCTTATTTGATTATGAACTATGAACATTTAGAATTTATAAGGAAGAGCATTTTCTCGAACTGATAAATTCAATGAGGAAAAATTACTTCTTAAATTTAACGATAAGCTATACAGTCCTATACAACACAACAGTCCATTATTGCTGAAAGGTGACGAAATTGATTAGAATTGTAAAATTTTCAAAATTATTTTCCATCATTTGTTTCAACGAAATTATTTGAGTTAAAAAATTATCAATCGATGACTAATGAAATAATGAAATTAAAAGTGATTAAAATTCATATGATTAAATAATTTTTTGATCAATAAATAAATGTAATATAAATATTTTTAAAGATGATATTATAAATTGAAGTATAAAAATGGCAATAAGAATATGAGAAAGTTAGCTAAGAATAAAATAAAGAAGTAAATTACAATTGAATATTTCTTGATAAAACTTCATTGTCTTACATCTTTTACTCACAAATGGCCTGTCTCATGCATAATGATCCAAATTTAAGAATTTTACACAGAATTTACAGAAATTTAAAATTTAATTGATAGCACTTAATGGGAAATTGCAGAATGCAACAATGCTAATTGTAAGAACAAAAAGTAAAATTTAAAAGAATCAAAAAATCATTTCATTTACATGGGAACAAAATCAAACGGATCACAATGAAGTTGATATAATTTTGTGTTTAGAGCTGTTAAAGTATAACAGCTATCTCTGGTAGATCTCGGGAACAGTGCAATAATCAATCACTATCCTGATCCAACTTTCTTCAGATATTGAAAAAACTTTGTATTTTGCTGTGTTTAAAACAAAAAATGAAAAATAGTTGAATTTTTCCATAATCTGTGCTATTTATTCGCGCATAACAAGAAATCCAGAACTTGTTTCAGTGGAAGGCAAAAGGCGAAAGTATCAGCAAGATCGCATGATATCTCCTATGATCCGGTATTATCTCGTTTTCTGCAAATCTTTCAATAATTTTATGTATCAATAAAAAAGTCAATGTATCTATTAATCATTGTACTCTATTACTTATTGATCTCCTCGGATCTTTTCATTATTTTTATATCTTTTAAGGAATATTTTAGTTGCACTTATCTGATTACTTATCATATAATTTCATGAACTAGTTTTTGCAAAATTATTTTGAGAAATCACGATATATATTTTATCTATCCTTTTCATCTATTATTATTATTACCTATTAATTATTTAATGTCTTCTTTGGGGAAGTTTATATTAATATTTTAAAATTATTTTCATAAATACAATTTTATAGTAAGCTTATTCAATACAACCTCAGAATATATGCACCTGGCAAATCTAATCATACAATAGAAGAAATAAAAAGATTAACTTTATTTTAGGCTTAACATTTAGGCCACAAATTAAACAAAATATGGGAAAATCATCTCTGAAATATTATTTTGTAAAAAGTTGATATTTTCATCAAAATTTGCAAGAAATAAAAAAAGAATAAATTTTTGTAATATCTCAGAAGAAAAATTTTTATTCAATTTTCTGCAACTCTTCCAAGCAATAACAATTTATAATGAAAAGATGCCTTCGAATGAAACTAATAAAATATTATTTATTCAAAATTAAAATGCTAATTTGAATTTTACAAATGATAGGTAATACTTAACAATTTCAAAACAAAAATACATTCCATCCATTTTGTTTATTTTAGTACAAATAATAAAAACAAAAAAAAATCTTACAAGAATTTATGAAAAAAAAAGATTTCATTTTTCAGTTATGCGATATTCGATAAATATACATCAGATGTTTTAAGGTAATTTTGATATTTCCATATATGCTTGATATAGCTCCATCTAATGATTATTTAAGGCTTGAATTAAAATGAAATTTCCCTAATATAATTTTAACCATTAATGATTAACGGCTGTATATTTTTTAGCGATTTAACTGTGATAGGACAAAATTAATAAATGCAAACATTCAGGAAATATAACATAATTTATATGAAAGATGAAAAACTTATGAAAGATGAATTTACTTGGCTTGGGTTTAATAATTATGGTTTCTTCTTACCTGTTGTATGATTAAATTTTTTTCCTTAATTTCTCATATTTGGTTGTCTGTTCGTATCGATGTGAAATTTTCATGTTGAAAAAAAGGTGAAGTTACAAAAGACAAAGGAAAATAGTTATCTCATGCATGATAAAATTAATAATTATGTCTCACACATTGATAAGATTATTTATTACTTTCGAACAAATATGTCAATCAATTAAAAAGTTTAAAGATACATATCGTGAAAATATTTGAATGAAATACTTTCAGTATTCTGAATATTGTTTGAAGTTTTTTTGCTAAGTGGGTATTATTTATAAGAACGATATAGTTGTAGGGAAGATAATTAAAACCAAATGAACTGCTCAAACTGCTTTGTGCAGTAATATCAAAGATAATAGAAGATAACATAAAGAAGATTATTGTTGTGTTAATTCAATTTCAATCTGTCGCTTCAATCTCTCACTTTTCTTAAAAATATTCTGTGAAATTTTTCAAACAAAAGAAAATGTAAACTATGACAATGTATGCAATCAAAAAGAAAAACAAACTAAATCACTACGTTGTAGTAAACGACAATTTCTGCGCTCGCAATATTGCAAATATAACAAATAATTGTGAATTAAAAGATTAATGGAAAGAAAGCACAAAATATGCTTTCTTAAATTAAATTTATAATAAAAATTGATGAATACAAAGGTTCTTTTTCTCTTCTTTTAAATATAAATTAATTTCATTGTTCATTTTCTGATATTTTATGACTTAAATACTTAATAATAAAATAAATTGCCGAAGATTATTAATAAGCGTGAAGGTAATTCAAAATATTGCAAATATAATTCTTATACGATTTGAAATTTTTCTAATTTGATTTGATCAAAGGAAACAATTTGAGTAAATGGAGGAAATGAAGGGTGGCAATGGAAGATTGATTTTAATTTTCTTTCCTTACTGGAGATGAAATAATCAAAGATGAATTAAAATTAATTGTAATATTTGACTTTTAATAAGTACAAAACTTTGGAAAAAGTAATATCTGCTAACGATAGCTCTTTAGGTTAAACGTTAATATTATTGTTGTGAATGCTTTAGAAATAAATTTAAAAACTTATCTTACTATTTCGCACTAACCGATGATGACGCTCAGTCATTGATTGATTAAAATGATTAGTCCACTTTAATGATTTTGCATTTATTCAAAAATTAAAAAACTCTTTATATTCTTAATTACGTTTGAAACAATTGATGCATTTTTAGAATTGAATTATTCGCTGCAATTGAATAAACAGTCGTTTTCACTTCGTTGCTTTTATTTATATTCATAACAATGAAAAAATTCCTTAACTTAATATTTGAATTAATCACTTTCATACATCATAATAATCACCATAATATTTAATATAATATTAGAAATATCAAAAAAAGTACTTACGTAAAATAATTAACTATAGCAGATTAAAATATATTTTGTCTTATTTGCGAAATGTATCAACGAATTTATTTATTAATGAATAGATAATAATATAAACAATGATTCACACATGTATATATGATAATGACAATCTATGATTTACATATATATAGATGATAATGATATAAACGATAATTCATTCATGTATAGATGATAAAGATATAAACTATGACTTATACATGTATGGATAATAATGATATAAACTAAGTTATACACATGTATAAATGATAATTTCAGAATTTCTTCAATAAATTCGATATCGAATAGATTTCATTCCTCTTCCTCTTCCATCATTCTCATTCATTCCTTTTCCTCTTCCATCATTCTCATTCATTCCTTTTCCTCTTCCATCATTCTCATTCATTCCCTCTTCCATCATTCTCATTCATTCCTTTTCCTCTTCCATCATTCTCATTCATTCCCTCTTCCATCAGTCTCATTCATTCCTCTTCCTCTTTCATCGTTCTCATTCATTCCTTCATTTTCCTATTGATAATGGCATCTGTCACAATTTATCACTATTTTTGGCGATAGCAAAAATCCATGTTAGCATTAAACGAAATCATTTTTGACATTTTTCATGTTCCTTTTTTGCAGTGAAACGTTCTTAGCTATTATTTTATTTTTTTATTTACCTTTTATAAACTGAAATAAATGAAATATCGAGTTTTAAATATTTCCGACAAAATTTTAAAAATCATAATCTTTTCATTAATTTTTTTACTTTACACGAATCAAACATCGATTACAACAGAAGTCAATAGAAGTGAAATAATTTAAAGTATTTTTTGTTCTTTGAAAATTTATACACAAAAAGTATTTTTGAAGAAAAATCCATTCCTTGGCTAACTACTAATTTTCCTACTGTATTTTCAACAAACAAAAAAAGGGCCAAAAAATACTCGTTTAAATGATTTCTATTTGTGGAAACTGCGTTATAATATCATAAGCTACCGTAGAAATTGTTTGATCGGCACTATTTCTTATTTTTTCACACTAAAACGCTTTTAACTCGTTTAACTCGTTCGATTTCATTTTCAGAATGGCAATACTTTTACTCTCTTTCATTATCCTAAAATTAAGTTTGATATAAAATAAGGAAAAGTTATTTTATTGTTATCCTAAAATATATTCATCATCTTTATGTAAGTTAGAATAAAAAGACAATGGTTGTATAGTAATCAAATTAATATTTAATTCTTTATTAATTAATAATATCTGTGAATTTGCTAATCAAGAAAAATTAGGTAAATCAGGTAAATCATGCTTAGAAACTTTTTTTGTGTTCAAATTTATTTTAAATCACAAAGTTTGCATATCAATGAAATGATGGCCTGCTAGGCATTTAAATCATTTTGTGGTAGAATAAAAGAAAAACAGTCGAAGATTTGAAAATTTGATAATTAGCATTTTTAAATTGCGCTTTCTGTTAATCAAATTTGGCGAAGGAAAAAGAAATGATCCGATGCGATCCATTTCCGTTTCATAATTCTTTTTCCGTTTCTTGATGAAATAGAAGGATCAATCAATTCAGAATGAAAAAAAACTTCCTTATATCACATTCAATTCATTTCATAATTGTTTTTAATTCTTCCTCTCAATAAAATCTTTAAATTTTATTATGAATATGATTAATAAAGGAAAATAAGTTTCTGATGAAATTGCTAACTAACAATAAAGGCAATTCTAAAATTGAATCTTTTATTAATATGCTTTTTTTAGAATAGAATTTTTGCGGTTTTATTTCAAGCGAAAGATATATTTCATTCTTTCAAAAGACAGTTGAAATTAGTCTGACTGAGACCATCAATAATGAAAAATTCAAATGCGTTGTTCATTCTTTTTCTTTTTTTACAATTAAATCGGACATTTTAATTTGAAATTATCGAAATGATATTATTGTTTTAAGGGTTTGATTGAAATTATAAATCACTATGAAATCGATCTAAATTCTACTAATTATAAAATAAAAACTTTTACTATTTCAATAAACCTATAATTACTTCTTTCAAATAAAGAAAATCAATTAACTGAAATTAAATTGAAAATTTCTTAGAATTAAAAAATCGACCAAATTTTTTAATCAAATTTTATAGTAAATACAATAAATATAATTAATGCAATTTTCAATTCTTTTTCCTTATTACATCATATTTTTCTGTAAAATCAATAAATGAAAATGTCTTTGACATAGAAATAAATAATTATTTTATGTTAGTTTTCCATTGTTTCATTTACTAACATTTTATACTTTTCATTAAAGTAAAGTAAATATTTATTAATTTATTTATTGGAAAAAGATACTGAAAAATTAGCTAAAGAGCATATCAGACAAAAATAGTTTGTAGAAAAATGAAGGAATTAAAGAAAAAAAGAAAAATTAATCCCAATGGTTTGCAAATGCCGAGGGGAATCAAATAAAATATCATTTCTTATTTTTCCTCTGATTTTTTTCATTTCTACTTTTTTCACTTTTTTCGAATTCAAAAAAGCTTTGATGGAATGATAACGAAACTGATAACAATTAATCTCGAGATTGAATGCGACACGTAAAGAAATAAAACTTGATTAGGAAATGATTGTTTTGATAATCTTGATTAAATCATTTTTAAATTTCACTGCAAATAATTTATGTTAGATATAAAAATGGGCGACGAAAAAAGAAAGTGTCATTATAGGATAATATATCTTAGGTGTTATTTTCAATTCATTGTTTACATTTTATGTCTTACAAGACAAATTGAGTGAAATGTAAAAACAGGTTTGCTGATAGCTATCCGCGGTCCCATTCTAATGTATATTTTATATAAATAATTGTAAACATTTGTTTTAATTTCTTTAATAAAAAAAGAAAAATAGTTAATGAAATTAAATTCTGAATATTTATCAAATGTGAAGAAATCGTTGTTGAATTTTCCGCAATGTCGTTAGCCTGTCGTATGTTAAGAGATGAATTATAAAAAGCAGTTGGTCATTAATTGAAAGTGATCCACAATTAGTAAACAAAAAAAACTTTTTGCATTAATTGGTTGACAATTTTTAATATTATTTGTGTAACTGGTTGAATAAAATTAAAATATCTCAGTTCGATCTGAATGGTTGGTAGGCATTTACTAATGCTGTTTGACGATTGTTAAATTAATTTGTCTATGAGAAAATAATAAATTGCTTAGTCGAATATCAAATCAAAATCTTTGTTCTCCTCACGCAATTAATTTCTATTGAAAATTTGTTAAATTATTATTTTCTGATGAATTTAGTATATAATAAAGATATAATAAAGCAAAAACAAGCTGTCATTTTTTAAAAGATATTCAAATTCATTTTCAGATTTGATTGCCTAATTATTCATTCGTAAGATAATATTTCAATTTAAAAAGATTTTATGTGCTCAATTAACAATTAAAAATTTGGAATTTTTGAAAAGAACAAATTTATTGCGCATTTGTGGCCGTAAAAACTTCGATATCGAACGGCGGTATTGACCATTTGTTGGTAACTTATCATTTTTATTCATATTTCTTCGTAAAAGTTAAACCTGTAAAATTTCTTGTCATATTATCATCATTTTTTTGAATTAAGTATTATTTAAATATATCAATTAGACTGCTGGAATAAACTATTTCCACATTTTCCACGAATTCATTCAATGAAATAGCAATTAGAATATAGGTAAAACATTAAGAAATTTGAAGATTTATGTGGCTCTTTCATCGATTCTATCCGTTAACAATAATTAAAACCAAATTACTTTTTGTAATTTTCTGTCAAAGATTTCCATTTCTTCGTTAAAAATTCATGCGACTAATTTCAGTTTCATTAAAAACTTCCCTAAAATTACGAATGAAATAATAAGACAATCATACATTTCGTTAATTTTGCTTTCTCTTTGTGATATATTATTGAAGTGTAATATTAATTATTGAAATATTAGAAATCAAATACTTCAATTTTTAACAAATAAACGAATAATAGTTGCCAAAAATTTTTCATCCTATTAAATTGCATCAAAATACTATCTTCTAATTTTGCCATGATATGATGATATAAGGTAGAATTCTTCAGAACCAGTAATCATTCCATCTTTTCTTACCTAATGATAACTAATCATCCCATAAAAGTGTAATCACAAGTTTTATACATGTTATTTCAATTTTAATTTTCAAATTATAAAATTTCTAACAGAAGTCGTAAGTCGTTTTATACCACATTCATTTAACAAAAAAAAGTCTTTGTTACCATTATCACTTTGTTATCAATATCTGTAGCTGTTTTTAATGAATTAAAGGATGATTTTCTTTATTTAGCTTACGTCGACATAATATAACGATAAGAGGAAAAATTAAAAAGAATGTAAATATATAATACATCGAAATCAGAATGCAATTTAAGAGTTTTTATAAAAATAACAATGGTCCAATTTATATTTCATAACATATTAATTGCGATTGTAATGATATCTAAAAATTTTGAATAAAATATGATAACAAAGATATATCATAAATGATCGGAAATATGCCGAAACAGGAAAAACAATGAAGTTTTAATTAACATTTCTAAATATCTTTCTTCGTCGTTATCATAGAATCATGAATAATTATACTGATAGCAAGTAGTAAATTACTGATTTTTCGTCGCGAGCTTTCTTGTCAAATTTTCGGTTTTTATAATATCATTTTTAAATTTGTTTCCATTCCTAATCATTAAATTAGCATATGACGTAAACATATTTAGTAAAAAGATGTGAAATAAGATGAAAGTTCAGAAATATGGAAAATACCTTGAAAAGATATAGATAAAACGGTCAGTAATAGTCAGTTATCACTTGAAGTTGATGTTCTATGCAAATGAGACATCAAAGATATTGTGATCAGTTGATGAGAAGGAATAACTTTAATCATAAGTTCAGCTGTTTTTCCAAGAATTAATCCTAAATTGTAAGTAATATTATTTTTGAAGAAGTGAAAAAAGCCTTCCATAGTAGTATCACATAATTTCCACACTTGAAGTTTTAAAAATCTGAAAACAATATTAATAAGCCTTTTTCTCTTTCTTCTCCGGAAAATCATAAATACAGTGGAAAAGAAAATAATACAGTAGTTAATATGTGGAATTCTGTATTCAGCAACTATTCTTATAACATTTCTTCCACTTTCAGTTTTCCATAACAGCTATATGTTCGCCGGATATTACAACATATAACCTATGCAAAAAAGTTACTGGTAAATTGATCACAAAAGGAGACGGAACGGTTAATAAATGAATCGACAAGGAACGGAATAGTTAGCTAACTGTTTATAAAAGAAACGGAACACTGCCATTAGTAAATCGATATTACAGTGACAAATTAGATAGTTATTCAATTTTTTTTGTATAATGAAACAACGAATGGAATAAAATTTATAGAAATAATAAATCAGTCGTCGGTAATTTCAATCGGGACATGATGCCATGCATTGTTAAGCAAACCACGAATGTTCCAAATTCCTCGGGATGTTTCCGGTTGTGTATTATAGGAGCGATCGGTTGCTTTGCATACCAAATCTAACTTTTTCACACCATCCGGAATTTTTATTGTTGATTTAAAAAGTGTCCATGACCACATATGATCCTTTAAAAATGTTTAACTTAAATGATTTTATTCATTTTCGTTTTTCAAATAATTTACTGTGAAATTTTAGCTCACATTTGCTAATAATCAATCTGAGCTTAAAATTTTGATTTAAATATTGTAAAAACACACAATATCTTGATCAGGATCCTGCACTAGCTGAGCAGCTTGCCACGTTTCACCACCATCTGCTGATACTTCCACACGTATTATACCACGTCCACCACCACTCCAAGCATAACCCATCACGTCGAATTGACCACTTGCTGTACAAAAAAAAAAAAGAAACTTTACAAGGCTATAATATCAATTGCTCAATTCATTATAATGATTATTTAAACTAATAGTTATTTAGGCATTGATAGTGATGTCATAGCTTTTGTATGATACTTTTTGGTACTAATAGGATGATATTTTGATATCAGAAGGATAAAAGTTTATGATATTTTAATATTGTGCAATTAAAGATTATCTATTTTTAGATTTTACGACAAGTTTATTGACAAATTCATTGAAAATGGCAAGATTTCTACTTATTGCTGGAAAAGAAAAATGAATAAAACAGCACAGCGTGATAGTTTTGTTGGCGCAGATGGATAACAAAAAGCACTTTGCACTGGATAGTCTTGTATCGAAGGTGACAATTCGAAATTTTGATGATCTGTTGGACCAATAAATGGTGGAAGACCTCTAAAATATTTGTACGTCACTATGAATTTATATATCCAAAACACTTTTAATTTCATTCTTTCATGGAATCCAAGAAGACAGTGAAATGGTAATACCTTAGATACAATATGATGAGTATATTTCTAAAACTTTAGGTAAAGCCATCTCTCTTATTGCTATTAGAAGAAGAAGACTAAACAGTTCTAACCAAACCGTTTAATATTTAAAAAAATCGATTCAGTGATATCTAAAAGATATAGTTATACTAAAATATATATAGTTATACTAAAATTGTGGACATATAATATTGAATGATTTCTTTGACCAAAATGGATTTCGACAAAATTAATTATTGAAGAAAATAAAAAAGTGAAAAAAAGGGAAAAATTATGGAAATAAAATTTTTTATTTTCAATTGCAATCATTTCAATACAACGATTGAATTAACAAATTCAAATAAATAATTTCATAACAAACCTATAATCTCTTCTCTGCCAATGTGATTTACTTTCCTCTTCGCTAAGAATTATTGAGGAAAGAAATTTCACTTGACGTGCGCCAACAATTCCTGTTAATTTCTTATAATTCAAAATTGAATGAAATTTTATTCTGATTAAATGTATCTAAGCTTATGTAATGTTTACTTATCTATTTATGACTGAAAGCAAAATTTATATAATGCAAAAAATTGCTTTTAATTTTTTTAATAAAATTAAGTGACTATCAAATTTATCAAATTAATTTGAATAAGTAAAGGATGAAATTATCCATCGATTTGGTTGGTATAAATATTGGAGATGAAATTTCACGTTATGAGATCACCATCCTTAGTAAATGAAAGTTTTATTAACAACAGATTGAAATGAAAATATTGACGAAAACGATGCAAGCAGCGTAACTCTGTATGCACGGTTAAATTTCTGATGGAAAAATCTCAGAAACTCTCACCCGGAGCAATCAATCGCATTGGATATCCATGATCTCGCGGGATCTCTTCGTCATTCATCTCGTATGCAATGATAACTTCACTTTGCATAGCTTTTTCGAATGTTATTGATGTTTCATAATTGTTACCTTCAACAATAATTAGAAATAATGATAACAATTAGTGTAAATAATGATAATAAATAATAATAGATTATAATGATAGTAATAATAGTAATAAATAACACAAATATAAAAAAGTAGTAACAATAAATAAAAATAATGGTAATAATAAATGATAATAATAATAACAGTATTTTCAATTATAATTTCTTATTAATAAGAATAAAGAGAAATTAAAACAGATCGTTAAGGAAATTTAACAGATCAATTCTACAATTATATTGATGATCCAGAAACTTTTTGGAAAATCATTCTGCCTTTCATTTAGCCTTTCGATTTTTTTGAATCCCAAACGGTATGCTTATAATACAGTAGAATATACCAACCCTCACTATCCATATCGGCTCCACGAAATATAACATGCTTGATACGTTTATCATCCGGATTTATTCCTGCTTTCATCAGAACATCCTGAACAACATTTCAAATGTGAATTTAAAGAAAAAATTTTGAAAGATATTCAAATTTGGTTTCATAGAAATTTTTAAATAAATTGAATAATTTTTAAAATTTTTACCAATAATCAAAATTGTATTATTATATTTAATAAATGGAAAAATCGGAAGAATAGAAATATACCTTTAGTGGTACACCGGTCCATTTTGCATTACCTATTGCCGTACTCTTCCAATTCAATCCTTGAACCTAAAGATCAATCTTTTATTCTTATTTTGATATTTATAGTATGAATTTGCATGATATGTATGAGTATAGTATGATATTTATCTTTATGATATTTTTTTATGATATTTATGTATGAATATATATTATATATGAATATGAATATATATGAATATATATATGAATATGAATAGTATGATATTTTTTTTAGTATAGTATGATATTTATATATGAATATAATATGATATTTATAGTATCAATGATATTTATAGTATGAAAAAGTTCACGATATTTTATGAAATTCATCTAATTATGATATCTCTATCAAAATCACTAAAGCAAATAGATTAGTATAATATCTGCTCAAAATTAATGCTAACAATTGGAGAATATGAAAACAAAATTAAAAAATTTTGAAGCTAAAAATTGATAAGTCAAAATTAATATATATATTACGTAGAAGTCATAAAATCACACTTTTTTTGTTGCGTTCATTTCACTGCGTCGATTACCGGCGCATTGCAATGTGGCGTTAACGGATACGCGCGGAAATTTGCTTTTGAGATCATTCAGAGAAAGAGTAAGAGGTTGTTGAACAGATATACCTTCGATTATTAATTTATGTTTTTTAGCGTCAATCTGTCATCAGACATTGTTCATAATTTATTTCATTTAATGGAAATAGAAATAGGCAACTTAAAATGAGAGAAAAATAAAAATAAAAACTGGTAGCTTTAATAAATTTTTATTACTAATCAATAAAATAGTTAAAACGCTATGATATTTAAATTATTTTATGCCAACTTTATGTTAATGCTATGAGTCATTTTATGATATCATTTCGAAATTATCAATTTTATATTAATTAAAAGCATAGCGCAATTATTGATTTAATTTGCTTAATTGTTGAATTTTACGATTCTAATCCAAGAAAATAGGAAAGCAAAAAGTATAACTTCAATTATTTTTGACAGGAATAACTGTTGAAATATTTTTTTGCAAAAACTTACAACTGGCACTGGCATATGATTTCGAACATAAAATAGGTCATTGGGTGTGTAAAAATTATCCGTTAATAATTCGGTCGGTGTTTCAGCATTGAATGGTTTTTCGGACTTCACAACCAATGCTGGATGACGTTTTGGATCATCACGATACGGATCGTTTTCATTCTGAAGATAATAAATGCTTTAAAAAAATAACGCGTTTTTTCTATGAGATAAATAATTTAATATCAACAAAAGTTGTTAAGTTTCTTTTAATGTTTAAAGTAGTAAAGTTAAAAGTAAATGTATACGATAAACAGTTTTATAATAATTTACTTCTGAAAGTACTTAATACCATTGATTTTTCATGTGCATACCTTTTCATACTTAATACCACTGATTTTTCATATGCATGCTTTTTCATTTCTATGATAAATATAATAAAATCATAGTGTGATAAGACCAAACCTTTGGTTTGATGACTATGATATCTCTTTCATTTAAATTGCCAATTCTTAACTCCTCTAATATTTCGAGTGTCTCCGGTGTTAGATGTTGCTGATAGATTTTCCAATATGGATCAATAGGACCACCTGCGGCTAGAAGTATCTTATCACCGCCCGGATGACTTTGAACGAAATTTGTAATATCATAGACACCCTGAGAAACTATTGGACAGTGAAAATGCTTAAAATAATAATAAAAACGAGAAAACTTGTTGTGCAATAATTTCGCATTCTTATAAGTTCATTAATTTTTAAATCCACTAAAAACGATTTATTGAATGTTCCCAACAATATCGCAATGAGAATGCTTATGTTGTGTTGTATCGATATTTCATACTATATTTGAATTAATTCTCTGAGTCTAATTTTTAAAAACAGTGAGTTCATAATTAGCTTGTCAGGAATATTCTTAAAATTTTCAACAATTATATAAATGTCAAATTAATTGAATCATTGATTTAATAATTTATCTATCTGATTTCAAGTGTATTATACAAAGCCATATGCTCGATTTCACCTGGATTATAAAGATTATCTACCTGATTTCATCACAAAAGTTATCGCCAAAAATAAAGCTCAACTTCCCTCTAAGCTTATCATTCCTTTGTCTTTCATCATTTTATTCAAATAAATAATTAAGCAAGCAAACAGACAATAAATTAAATAACAAGTATAAAATTTTAAAAACTTTAAAATGAACATAAGATATTTAAATTGATTAAATATTAATAATTGATATAGTAATTAATAACAGTGAAGAAATGCAAATTTAAAGTGTGAACTGTCGAAAAAAGCAAACCCTTTGGAAAGTAACCCAAATACTTTCGGCATCTTTTCCATGTTTTTTTACTTCTTCCAATTCATAAAAGGGTAAATCACTTCTCACTTCAATTTTCATATTATTTCTTGTATCAGCATGTCCTATTCCAATAATATGCTTCAGCAGTGATGCGCCTCCAATAAAAGTTAATACACCAAAAGAACTGAGCAAAATCCATCCTCTTGGATTCTTTCCCGGTTTTTCTGTAAAAAAGGTTTTTTTCAATTCAATCGATTCAGTTTTATTAGCTGTATATTTTATCCCTGAATATTCAGAACATTTATCTTCAACATTGTCAAATAGCTCGATAATCTGAGTGATATTTGATATGATTGACAGGGAGAACCAAATAATCACGATGAGTGAACATGATTGACATTAGCCATAAGATTCTTATGATATTCTAGATTTCGAAGAAAATTCAATCCGACACAAAAGACTTATGTTAAAACGATCGCAATGAATTTAAATAATTTCGAATAACCGATCATAACGAATATTCAATTCATATATTTGTTGTTTACAGTTTTCTTTGATTATATTGTGAATTTCTCATATTATATTATTGAACTGATATGAAATTTTCAATGAAAATTTTTTAAAACATTTTTTCCAATTTTTTCCAGAAAAATATTTCCAAAGAAATAATTGTGCTAATTATAATTTGCAAAATAATTAGAACAATCGTTAGGTAAAAATTTTGAAAAATATGCGTGAAATATACATTCTGCATTTTAAAGAAATTAAATTTGTAATTTAAAGCGAACAACTGTTTTCATTCAAGTCACTTGAATTGAATTTGAGCAGAGTCAAGAGATCAAAGCACGCTGCGGTAATTATAGAAAAAAGAATAAATTATCAAACCTGATAGTATTAGCGATACCTTTGACGGATGACTATTCAATAGATGGTAATGTGTGGTAGCAATTTTAGCATGATGGACATTGGCAATAACATCTTCATATGACGGTCGTCGATACGCCATCACATGGCGAAGCCACATTTCTTTAAAGCGATATTGCTGCAATTCAAATGAAAATGAAAATTTTGCAATATTACGAATATGAACAATGATAACTATCACACTGTGAAAATCAAAATCATTTTTAATTAATATAACTGAACAATTCTTACTAAACTTTCCATTTTTACATTATCTTGAAAGTGAAGAATTGCTACCTAATTTAATTAATTAATTGCATTAATTCGAATTTTACTAACACAATGAATCATTTAGCTAATTTCTAACCTTTTTTTTTGATTATTGTGCTTATCTTTAGTGGTTAAATTACCGGAAAAAAATTCTTATGTAAATGTCTTCGGTCTGATAACCAGTCATGTTTCAATCATTATACTGTTATCAGGTCGTTCTTTCTGCAGCTTTTACATACCTATCCTTGTATCCAATAGGATTTTATAAGAATATCCGTTCTAAACCACCCCTACTCTATATACGTAGGGGTGAAAAGAAAAGTTCAATGACTCTTTGATTTCTACCTTACTTCTTGCCAATAAAAATTGTCTCCTTAAGTGTTATACTACTATTAACATCCAACAATAACGTTAATAAAGAAAATCTCTCCAAAGAAGAAAATCAATTCTCACCAAATATTCGACTGTACCAAATCAAAGCTGTCCAAAAACAAACAAAAAATCGCAATACCATTATCGATTTTCTTTTGTTAATTTGATGTTTTTCATTGAAATGCGCCCATTTCAATGATAGCGTGAATGAATTTTTATTGACACCCAAATTTTTCGAAAGCAAACATCAAAGAAATATGGACGTAGAAGGGAAAACAGAGGACAGTGCAAAGGAGACAGGTAAAGGCGAGAAGAAAAGAGTTAGTCATCTGCGCTCGTGAAATTGATGAGATATTTTGGAAATGCTTATACCAATGATAATTGATTTCCAATACGTAGTAAATTCTTTAAGTTCTTTATTCAGCAGCTTTACCGGATTTATTTTCCGACTGATGGAAAATATGAAATCAGCCAACAAAGAGCTCTTAGCCAACAGAATTAAAGGCTCCTTATAAATCTAAAGAATTTAATTAAAGGGTAATTGAATTCAAAAAAGGAATAGTAATTAAATTTGAAATTGAAAGAGTCAATGCAGAATTGGTAATATTTAACTTTCAATCAAGAAAAAACCAATTCAGTGTCTTGCTAACAACAGAATTTCTTCGGCAAGAAGTCATGTAAGAAGAAGAACTGTCAGAATAATTGGAAAACGAATTCGGTAAAGCTACTGAATCATTACAATAAGAACTTACAGAACTTGCCATGCATTCGAAATTAATTATTATTGGTGTAAGCATTTTTATAACATCGTTTTATTAATTGCCATTAAATTGAAATTTGAATTCACTTCACTTATTTTTTGCTTATTTTGTGTTAAGATTTCAAACTAAAGCGAAATCATCATTATTACCATTAAACTCTTTTAATGCAAGAAGATCTTGTCTTACTACTTGTAGAACCTTTCATAAGTTTTTTAGCTAACTTCAGACCATTTGTTTTATACTACTTGATTACAGCTAAGGTAGAAGTTTCACTATTAAAGAACTGTTTGAATTTAATCACTAACTCTTGTTCTGTCTTTTGCTGATATATCTTATCTAGAAATTAATTATTTGATGCAGAGGTTTTGTTCTTCTTGCCGTTATAATACAGTTATCAGAAATACAATTACTTGAGTCAATCACTAGGAAGGATACTTTAATTATGTAAATAATTTCATAGAGTTATTTCGGGTTTCCTATAGGATATAATATTTCAATTTATACATATAACATGTTTTAGAATATTAGTGTTTAATGAAAGTGTCTTTAAAAAAAGTTTAATTTTTGGATCTTTATTTGCTTTCGGCTCAACAGAAGATGTAAGCCATTGTTGAAGTTTGATTTGCCTGTAATTATATTTTCGAATAATGCAAATTACATCATCAATTAACATCGTTCCTGCCAGTTACACATAGGTTTAGCAGGTTGATGTAGATTCTTTCTTTTATTTGAAAACCTTCTAACTTTGATGTTCAGATTAAAAAATATAACCTTGCTTGAAAGAAGTGAAATTTAAGATTAGATAATACATAAAGATTGCAGCAGATATAGCTTCAAGTAATTTTAGAAATCAAAAAACACATTTGTTGAATTAAACACAATTCGAAATCATCAGAAAATTATTTATTTATTAAGAAATAAATAATTTAATAAACACACAAAAAAGTGTTTACAGTCACAAATATGCATTAAACGATTACTGCAATTCATTAATTAATAGGGCAAAGTAAAGGAAAAAATTCAGTTTGGAATTATTAAGATTATAAAATAAGTTTAAACAAGCGTGCCATTTTGAATCAACTGATAAAATGTCGAATAAGTTCCATCGGCAGTGGAAAAATTATCGTCGAATTTTTTTCGGCACTAAATTAAAAAAAGAGATTTGAAATTTGGAATCGGAAGTCTGATTTAATCATTGATATAATATTTAATAGCCTCTTCAAATAAGTTCACAAAAAATAAAATTCTGAAATATTAAATTTTAAAAGTAGAAGGCAAAATAACGAATATAAATAATTTAGTTAGTTCTAAGATACAATTTTTTTAAGAAAAGATTTTTAACTTACGCGACACTACTGAGTGTTTGCAGATAGCGTAATTGCAGTGCTGCGGGTGACTCTGATATAGTCAATGCTGCCTCTTGAAGTGAATGCGATGCCTTTTGTTCACCTTCCGCTGCGATCACCTGCAAATGCAACGGTGTTATCCAAAATTAATGCACAAATGTAATTTCAGCAGTGTGGGAAAAATGTTCACAAATTTAAATCTTTGAGCTGTATGGCAAAAAAGTTTAGAATTATAATCTTAAAAAGGAAGATTAATTAAAGTAAACAAAGAAAGAACTTAATTATTTTGACATTGTATGAAATATATCGCTTCATAGAAATGTTGTAATAATTAAAATGTTAGCAATTTCAACTTTTTGTTTGCTCTTTCTTAATTTTTAATATCATTCAAATGAGAAAGTTCATCTTTACAGTTCTTCTCGATTCCATACTTGAGATTAAAGGGTCATCCTTCACGGTTACACTATTTCTGTGTTTATATTAAGACAAGAGTGGGAGGAAGAGAAACCTTAGCTCTTGCTTCACGAGTCGCTTCCGCTTCAGCAGCCATCGCACGTTGTAGCTGTATCGGAAGACGAACATCTTTTCTGAAATAACTGAAGTCATTTCCAAGGAAGGATGAACATCGTCTCATTTAAAGTTTTGATATTGCAGGAATGAAGCGCAAATGGATGTAATAGTTTGATCAATCATTTGCGCCATCATAACAATGGGAAAAAATGATTATTATCGATAACAATCAGCAATATGCAATTTTACAATGGTTGGTGTCTGCTAAATCAATTTCTGATTGTGAGGGAATAATGAATAGATTAGGGTAAGTGAATTAATTTCACCAAAAAAATTACTGAAAGTTTTTGGTAGACGATTTGCTATGTTATAAATGGGCTTTGTGCCAATTAAGAAAGATAAGTAAACAATGAAGTAATGTACATTTCAACTCTTTCGACTTTGATTCCCCATCTTTCCGTAACATCGTCCAGAATTACCTGAAAGCAAAGCAAAATTAGTAACTATAATCAACAATTGCCACACGTGATCATAAGAGAATTTAATTAGGAAAATTTATGATATATTTTTGAAAATACAGTATGGTAAGATTGATCAATTTTCAGTTTCACATGATGTTAAATAAAATCATAAATTGAATGAAATCATTGAAGAGGTTATATATCATTTAAAGATACCTTTCAAATGCTTTTCAAAAAGAATAAAATCTGAGAGTGAATTTTTGTTTTAAGCATACCTTGTAAATATCCCAAATATTATTAATATTATTATATTATTACATCTTCTTTAAATTTTGAAAATTGAAATCCTCATTCCATCTTCTGCTTCTTATTAAAATTCAATAGTATGATGGAATTAACCTGCATAGATAATGCGATCGCATCACGATCGGATAAAATTTCTGATAAACTTTTGGTACCAAACATATTGCGCAATGTTGTTTGTGCCAGTAATCTGGTGGAATAATGAACATTTTCCACATTTGCCACTGATATAGTAGCATTACATATTCGATAGTATACCACAGCATCTACGCTCACCGTTACGGAATCCTTCGTCAGAATCTGAATGATAGATAACGAAAATATGATGAAAATAGGAAAAATTAAATTATAAGAAATGCTTATTACTTCAATATTGGTGTTATCAGTGATATTGATATAGGAGTTTACTATATGTTTCTTAACACTAACTCCATTATTATACATTACTAAGCTATTTTTTGTCTGCAGCAATCATTAGAATAAAGCTATACTTCAACAGACACTCTATATATTTAAGTGATTACTTATTTAATGAAAGCAATTTTCATAGACAACTTAATTAAATTAATCAGCTAATTGTACAGTCACCTTTTTAGCGAATTATTTGGGAAGTATAAAAAAGGCAATATAGTAAGTACTGTAATAATTATTAGAAAATTAATTGAAATAATTAGGTATAGAAAAGAAACTTCTTGCGGTGGTACATTGAATGATACTGTGCGTAAATCCACTTTAGTGTATGATTCCACACATGGTAATATAAAAAACATCCCTGAAACTTAATTAATGAAGTAATGATTAGTATTTATTAATCACTTTCTATTAACAATTCTGAATAATCCTCAAAGGGATAAAGTATAAAGTTTGATTTAAAAAATTTCTGATTATAAATATGAATTAAAAAAAATTTCAAACTATACCTGGACCTTTTGCACCACCTCCAATTAACCTACCCAATCGAAATATTACAGCTCTTTCATATTCTTGCACTACCTGAAAATAATAATCGATTAATTTTTGAATAACAAAAGAAAAATTTTCCACTTTTTTTATTTTTTTCTATTCCATTAAAATTTCTTTCCTTTCTCATCAAATTTAAGAATATTAATTTTTAATTTTTGATTTAAAATCTATGATCGGTCCTCAAATATTTATTGGAATTAAAAAATCGAATCACCAAACCTTAAGACAAAAACACATAGATATAGGAAATGTAGAAAAGAATATAATCCAACTAATTATAATAACAAACCATCCACAAAATCCAACGCTGCTATCATAAGTATCAGCTAAAATGTAATTATTTTAATTTTAATATTTTAAAGATTAACATATTATAAGCAAATATTAAAAAAAATATTTAAAGATTCGACAAAACAAGAAAAATTTTTTAATAAACATGAAGGAAAATATATATATTTTATCAAAAAATGAAAATTTCTCAAAAAGATGTTATATATTTCAATTAGCCATTTGTTTATTTATTTATTTTATTTATTCGTTTATTTGCTTATTTATTTATTCATTTCGCTTATTTATATAAACTAAGAAAGTAAACAATTATCTGTTTAAAAAAAACATATTCGAATATATTAATAAACAATAAGAAAAGCTCAAATTCAATGAAAATGTTTACATTTTGAATACAAACAAAATGTTTAATAAAAAAAATTTTGTTAGTAAAATTTGTTTATATTAAATTTTCTTCAACAAAATTGATGTAATTTCCTCATATAAAATCTTTTTTTTCAAAGAAATTAGAAGAAAAATACATTTTGTTTTATCGAATAAAAAATTGCAAAATTTACTTTTTATCGAAAACATTCAATTAATTTTAATTAAATATTACTAATTATTCTTATTAATTACTTTAATCTACTCTTTTATTTATTATCTTACTTAAGCCATTTTCCGACTTACTTATTATTCATTTGATGAAATGAAATAATTATTAAAATTATTGCAAAAATAAGCTATTAATATTTATTGTGGAATATCTTTTATAATGTTGAAAAAATAATTTGAAATTGTTGAAATTACTGCAAAAGAGAAATAGCCATAACAAAATGAATAATTTAGTAAATTTGAATGGAAAGACGAAAACAAAACAATAACATTAATGAATTTTTCTTCGAACCCAAATGATTCATTACTTCTTGTAAAGTAAAGAAATAGCTATCATTCATTTAAGCCTATACTAAATTATTTCATGCAAAATTTTTTATCATACGATATATGCATTTTCATTACATACTTTATCTAAGATAATTTTAATTAATATTTATATCACTTACATAATGATATTTTATCAGTAAATTCTGTCCTGTATTCCGATTACATACAATTCCTGGATTATCTTTCATGTTCGCATTCAATTTTAGGTTTACCTTTAATAATCATTTTCTGATGTAAGAGAATTCTAATTTTGAAATATTTTTATGAGTTTTAATTGTATAGTAAAATCAAAGCTATGAAAAGGTAAAAATTTTTACATTATGCTAAATGAAATTTAATTCAATTCCAATTGACGAGAGAATTGCCTTGTTTCATAGCTTGTTGGCTATTTCGTGATGAATTGAAATTCAATCTAAACTGAAACGGCTTATCATGATAGCGTTTTGCATATCACTTTGCAACTGCAATCAGACTATATAACAGGCTGTTGCCATTTAGTATTATGTCGCTTATTTGGAAATTGATGCACTGAATACAGTCTCATTTTCAGCTAATAATTGAAGAATTAAAAAAGTGAAATTCATAAGAATGCTTCCATTGATAATCAAATCTGATCTATTACATTTTATCAATTTATCATTATAATTTAATCAGAAATAATAACCAGTATTAATTAAAGGATGAAAAATGTACACGGAATAAGAGAATTTCATAAGGATATTCTGAAATGCTCAAATTTCTAAATTTATCACTATATGTTTTTACGGATGCATATGCGATTGTGACGAAATTTCAGAAGTCTATGAAAGAAATTTAAAATGAATGAATGAATGGAAATAATTCAGTAGCATGATGAATTATAGAGGAATGTGATGATGTGATGTATCTTCTAATTTGCTACTGACTTCTTCATGTAAACTAACAACGGATATGCTTCTTTAATTCTGAAATCGAATGATGAAAAAATTTGGAAAGGAATGATTTGCTATGACAAAGAAATTATTCTCATTCCGTTGCAAATAATTATTCTCATCCCGCAAATGATTATTCTCATCCATCCAGAATAATTTCTTTGTCATAGCAATGAAAATAATATTCTCATCCCATTTCAGATAATTTGTAATAATTTAAAATTGAATAATTCAATACTTTCAACATTAATTACGTTGAAATTATAAGAATGACAAATATTTTTGTTCATTCAATAAAATATATATTTTGATAATTACACTGTTAGAGTAATTAATTATGCTGAAAAACAATATATAAGTGATATTATTTCGCTTGACCATTATATCTTAACCTTATTTGTAAAGTTGATAAATTATTGATCAATTATACTGTAATCAAGAACTGAAAATAAACTTACGATGAGCATTTTTCGGATAGTATGATAATTTGAGTTGCGCTAATGATTGTCGCCTTAAATTACGTTCCTCTTTAGCAAAAATTAACGGATTAAGTGTAAAACGTCGACTCATTCGACCAGCAGAAAATTTACTTTTTTCGAAATCGTTATTCATACTGAAATGATAATCTTTACCATTCATTAATCAAATATTCATCCTAACTTTATTCCAGCAGTATAAATGTAATGTCTCCAAACAAGCGCCTAAAATAGCAATCCAAATTTATTATTATTAATTTGTCTAAATTAATTGATCCTTACAGTTAAAAATAATCAGACAAAGTAATGATATAAACCTCTTTTGATGGTCAAAAGAAATGCTGATATAAAAGAAAATTTTCTTTTTTTATTTATCTTGAATTAAATGAGAACGATAGATGAAAACTGATATAATGATAATAGATCTGAAAATAAATCTAATCTTCCTCAGTAAATAGATGATAACTTTCTTACATACGAATAGACACCGTCAGCTGTGCTTTGAGTATGTGAAGAAAAATGTATGATTAAATACCATATAACTTCAAAAAAGAAAAGAAAAGAAATAAAATTAGTAATGAAATTGTTTATAATTAATTGTTTCGGAAGAAATAATTTCGATTTCATTTATTTGTATCGAAAAATAAAAATTATTAAATTGTTTCCAACAAATAATTAACACAGAAAAAAGCGACCAATCTATTTGTTTTTTTAATTAAAATTTCTTTTCTCTCATTTGCAATGAAATTGGAAATTAAATTTATCGAAATGGAAATTGATCGAATATCATCAAATAGTCGCAGCGAAAAACAAATGATCGATTTAAATGGGTAAATAAATAAAAGTAAAAAAAAGAACAAATAACAAAATATAATTGGAAAGAAAAAGATAAAAGAAATCTAAACTGAAAATAATTCAGTGGCTTAATCGTTGTGGAATGTGATGGAATGCGATGATCGTACAAATAAATAAATTGAAGGAGCGATACATAAATTCACTGAAGCAATATAGGCATAAAAAATAATTCTTTCAATCATGGATAAAGAAAAAGAAATTAAAATTCGTGAATTTTTCGTGCAAAATGATAAATTCATTAAATTCTACCTAAGATGATAAATTCACTAAATTCTACCTAAAATGATAAATTCGTTAAATTCTACCTAAAATGATAAATTCGTTAAATTCTACCTAAAATGATAAATTCATTAAATTCTACCTAAAATGATAAACTGTTGTGGCTAATAACTGGAAGAAAGAAAAAAACGGAAATTTACACATTTTCCTAATACTTTGTCTATTTCTGGAAACACCAAATGAAGCAAATATTTGTAATTCCTTTTGTTTTATTATTTTCTGAGCAGTTATTTAAGAATATTATTTTTTTTAAATGAAATTGCTGAAATTTAAAGTAATTATTTTCTTAAATGAATTTATGCAAAATCAAAAAAATAATTGTTTACTGTGAAACGTTTACCTTTTTTTCGCAAATGAGAAAAGCCAATGTATTAATTGCATTAATTATACAATGAATTAATCATATGATAATTGATAATGATAAGTTAAATTGAACAATTTTTATATGAAATTAATAATAATTAACATCGACGATAATAAAATTAGTTAATTTCAATTATTTACTTTAATTGCACATTTTTTTAAAAGTTATTTAGCAAACAAGGAATACTCATTGATTTTTTTAAATAAATTAATTAAAGCTTTTTGTTTATGAAAAGAAATTTAATAGTTAAATTTAGTGGGCAGCTTTTTTCATTCTTTTAAACAAAAGGAAAAATTTTTTATGAAAAAGAAATTACGGAAGTAATGAAAGTAACAATAACCACTATGCATTTAGTTAACTTTAATAGGTGTCACATTCTACTGATCAGTCATCCATATAATTTCAAATTATTAACCATGGTAACTTACCTTCCTCATCCGATTTGTTCATTTGTTTTGTCCTACAAATATTTCACACCTAATCAATTTCGATATTATGCCTATAATAGTTTAAAAATTAAACACACATAAATTTCTAAAATTTTCTAACTCAGTATGCAAATTATTTCATAATTTATAATCATCAAATTCACCTTTCTTATCTTCTAATCATTTACTATAATTATTCAAATTAAAAAAGAAAGAAGCAAAGAAAAGAAAAGCCTGTATAATAAGTAATCACGAAAAAACCTAATAATAATATTCCATGCAAAGCTGTAATGAATAATACTCTGTGAACTGTTAATTCTGAAACGGATATTTTTTCAATATCATAAACTGACGAATATTATTGCGAAATTATTGTTTAAATAGGATATTTTAACATCATGCTAATATAAATGATATTATTGATATTTGCAATATCAATATTTTAAATTATGATAAAATAAAATTAACGAATACATAATGTAATTAAAGTAACGAAAGATTAATAATGATAGTAATCCCTGCGATTAAATGTTTTATTTTGAATAACGAAATCTTATAATTGTAGGTTTTTGAAACATTAGAAGTTTTGATTGGTTAACCCAAAAATAGCAAAAAATCATTAAATGAATGCAAATCAAAAGCAACAACAACAACAACAACAACAACAACAATAATAATGACAACAGCAACAATAACAATAGCAACAACAACAACAACAAAAAGGAATGCAATTATTTTCGACTAATTACATTTTGGAATGAAAAACTAAATTGTCTTAAAGAAAAAAAGGAATTGGGATAGTAATGGAATTTTCAATTTTATTTTCTCAAATAAAGTTTTATCTAAAAGATAATTATGCTATGAGATAAAATAACAGAATTTCATGAATAAATTTGAACCTAAAGAGTCCTAAACTAGGCATAGCAAATGCTTTTTAGCACATATCAGTTTTATAATATCAGCAATAATCAGTAAAGTATTATGAAATTCTACGAAATAATCTTTCATTTCAATTTAGGCATTTGTTATTATACGGATCCAAAATGGTCAAAATTGCTTAGTTCTTATTTCACTATTGTAATATATTTTAATAGATATTTCAAAGTGTTACTGTAAAATTTTTATGTATCATTTAATATCACACAACTTCAGAGATATTGTAATACATATCATATTTAGCAGCAAATTGATAATATCATTGCTGTAGTACAATTGATATTAATATAAGTTATTCCACATTTATTACTCATATAAATAAGATGAAAAAAGAAAACCAATTGATATAATGGAATTAATTAGATAGATGAATTGACCTTTGGCACGCTATATTTCATAAGAAAACTGTTTAGCCAGCATTTATTGCCAACCAATATCTGTTTTGCGCGCATAATATATTTCATCTTTGGTTCAATTTTCTGCGATTTTTTTCCTTACTTCATTGGCTTATAAATTATATTTCTAAGTCAGTGAAATTGAAAAACATAAAATAAGCTATGTTAGTGTTTGCGTGAGCAAGTGATGGTGTATTTGGAAGTGCATTTGAGTGAGAATTGATAAGTATCTGAAATATATTAAGAATTGAAATAAGCAATATGAACGATAGCAGAAAGAACTAATCATATCATATCACTAAGAAATATATGTTGATACTAACATTTTCATTATATTTAGAAGCCAATTTGATGGGTGCACATTAATGCAAATATTGGAGAATGGTAAGACATCGATGTTTTCATCAAAGCAGATGAACTTACATCAAAGCAGATGAACTTACTAAGAAAAAAATTATTTAGCTGTAGTAACTTAATAATCCAAGTATTTTAAACTATCAATAATTAAAAAGTTCATGGTAAGAACAGTCATTTGGCAATTCGATTTATGCTATTCCATAATTTGTGTGAAAAGCAGAAATTAAATAGTTCAAAATTATTGTTAAATTCTATGATCTCTGAAATAGAACGATAATTTTAAATAATTTTTGGAACGATTAATAACCGATGAAATTATATTTAGCAGGCGAATGAACGAGCGCAGCTAGAAGAATTAATGTAAATTTTGCATCTGAAGTTTGATAATGAAAATCAGCAAAGAAGAAAGGTAAGGAAATATTAGAGAGAAGAAAATGGAACATTGATTTCATTAAAATTATTACCTATTAGTCATAAACATTAAAAGTTTTCGATCGATATGAATCATTTTGAGTATCACAATATCCGTGTACAGGTAAATCAGATATATACCAGTTAATATATCAAAAACAAAGAAATAAATTTTTAATATAATTTACTCGAAATGGCTGTTATTGAAATATTTTAATAGATTGATAAAATTTGCATTCATTTGCTATTTAGATTTTAGCTGAATTTCTGAGAAATTTATTTATTTTTCAATTTTCTACAGCCATTGAAATTTTTAGACATCACAACAATGTTATTTTACTTATTTATCAACTTATCACATAATAAATATATTCTATTAAATATTGTGAAAATATCGATGAAAGAAGATAATATTAAAATTACAAATTATTTCTGTCATCAACAAAGGTTAATATTTAAATTCAAAACATTCTAGGATAAGCAAGTTATATTCAAATAAAAATTCGCTTTACATTTTCACAGAGAATTGGAATGCGTTATTTTAATCATTCAAAAAACGAAAGTAAAGAAGTACACAATGAAAAGTATTTATATTATGAAAACTAATTTCGTAAGTTTGTTAAAGGTGAAAAAATGAGTAAAGTTAAAGTTCGATAAAATTATCCGAACAAACTTTTGATATGATTTATCTTTCTAATGCTATTTAGTTCAAAACTGGCAATCTCAAATATGAATAATCTTTACTGATATCTTTTTCCATTCATCGGTAATACGTTAATCTCTTGAAAAACTAAACGAATTAAAAAATTACCTTATAAAAAATATGAAAAATATTATTTCTGCGCTGCCAGCCGAAACATAGCATTAACGATGATAACAACAGCAGCAATATTATTAGAAATAACAGCCATGTGATATAGACTGAAAATTTTTCCAATTTAATTTTCAGCAAATTTCATCATGAATAAACATGCAAGGATGCAAATAACGACTAAGCAATCAATTGAAACGAATCACCCGCTATATCGCGATAAGAAGATGTGAAATTTGGTGTATTACATATCAAAATTATTATACAGAGTAATATAAACAAAATTATAATGCCAATATT